GGCACATCACGTTCGATAAGACATAAAGAGCAAGAATAATATTGCCTAGCATTAAACTATAACACACACAGATCATCTCGAGTCTCTAGCCTCGTAACGTCTAAAAAAAGAATTACTCCGTTTGGTTGAGAAGCGTCGGACACAAAAGTTTATATAATTGGATAAGCGGGCTTACATCACGTAAGCTTCGCTGCTTCTCGTAGTATTAGTGCCACATTGAGTTTTTGCGATTCTTTTGTTGACTGCAGCTGAGTGACACTCTGAACTCTCTACTGTTAAATCTGTTGCGTGTTGTCTCAATAACTATATGGGAACACAGCCGAGTGTTCATACACAAATACGCATGAAAGGATACATTTGGCGAACTCCTTGGTGTAACGAGTGCATCAGAAATGCACCCCAAAATAAGGTAGGTTGTTTGTTTTTGTCATTGTTTGTTATCATTTGAAGGCATCTTATTGCCAACCCCTAACAAAATCTGCATCTCGTAGAATCGTTCTCTCGTTAGACCAATAAAGGATATCATTGAAGGTGAAGCCAGGATTTACAGTTTGTAATAATTTGCATCTTCTCTGCAAAATTGTATGTGGCGGCATTGTAATCAACACTACACACAAACAACTTCGGCGCGCAGAGGACTGGCAGATAAACCCGCCGCCATCTGAGCAAAAGCTATCGATTTTCGGATATTATAAAATGTACTCTCGTTTAAAAATAAAGTAAACACGCGCAGTTGCGCAGATATGCCCACCTTTCGTGCAATATTACAAACTGTAAATCTGGCTTCACCTTCAATGATATCCTTTATTTTTGAAACGATTTCGTTACGAGATGCAGATTTTGGCCTACCTTATTTTGGTGCATTTGTGATGCACTCTACACCAGACTCAAATTTCATTTTCCATCGGCTGTGTCATAAGACACACAAGAAAGTCCATAACAGTAGAGAGTTCAGTCATCAGCTGCTTCAAAGAGCAACTCAGATTTGAGCGAGCTTTGATGTAAGCCCGTATTTTATATTTTTGTCGACGCTTCTACCAATAATTTTTACTACAGTGGTCAATGACTGTGTGTATTTAAATGGCAAATTGTATGTCTTACACTTAGTCTAACATGTACATTTATACACCGTTGTGTAGGTATTGATTTACCCTATACAGGTATGTATTGGTTTTTATCGTGTCCAACTTGGATCAAGAGACAGAGGATAATTCTTTCTTTTCGAATAATCCTTGTATGTAAATCCTTTTAATTAGGATGTAATTCATGTATTTTCAATATAATTTTTGAATCGTTGAGTTAAATAGATTTCAACACAGAAATCAGAACATATGCTTTTTTAATAAGTGTGAGTCTTATCCACTTTTATTCTTTAATACCATCCATATACTTGTATGACTTTTTACAATTGGTGTAGATATTTTAATTGATGAAGTCAATTACAAAATATAAAATAGTCATGTGACTTCACAAATGAACAGTTGTTTGTAAACTCCCTATCACTAAATGTTGAAATGTTTAGTTATAATTATGCAGAACGTCGTTTGTTTCTCTCAGGTGCCCTCTGTGCCTAAAGTAATGTACAAAAGGCCGTTTCCAGTACTCAGTTACCTGTAAAGCGTGAACATGTAGTTTTTGCGACGTACCCCTCCCCCTTAAGCAATGTACAGTTTCATACAAAATGCTTATGCAGTAGGTACAATTTTTGATATATGTTGATCATAGTAGTTTTATAATGTAAACTAGAATATACCTTGTTTCCACTATTTTTTCAACAATGGACCGACACTCGGTCCACACTTACATTAATTCCTTTACGTGTTAAACGTCGAAAGCAGTTTTATGAGATAAAGAAGTGATGTATTTGTTTCAATCAGTACAAGCCATTCAACAGATTAAAATCACTTAATTACTTTTATTGTATGTGTTTTAGAATTAATGTGTCATTTTTAGAATTAATATTTTTCGTGTATGGAATATATTTGATTTCAGAATTAGTAACAATGAAAAACTTCACATTTTTGTTATATTTTTATTTTGCATTTGACTGAAACAAAATGCATAATGAAATATTTCAAGGAATATCTTTACCTTTACTAGCATATAACAGTGTTCCATATGATGGCAATACTGTATATTCAAATACAAGACTACTTATATTGTTCGCATATCTATTGTGTTTTACTTAATATAAACACACAAAAAAGCTTTATACCAAATGTATACAGGTGTGTCCAAGCTATATAATCAAAACATGTTTTATATATTTATGATGTTTTTTTTCTCTCTCTCAGATATCAAAACACATAAATATAATTTGAGTATATGCACAGTTAATAGAATATCAAAGAATTGTATAGTGCTAAGTAAGTTTCTTCTTAACGTCATAATAACCGTTTTAAGGTTACCTATTCGTCAAAATATCTAATGTGGAGTGTTTTCACAAAGTATAACTAAGTTTAAAATCGATTTTTTATAAACATACGTTCTAAAGGCTTCAGGTATATCAGTGTATTTAGCGGATGTAAACTTAACGCACACAAATTGTAATAAACAATAGATTTTCAAAACTGATTAAGCGTCAGGTATATAATTTGTTTTTTTTTTTCTTTATGTTTTATTTAAGCTCTACTTCAATATTACCGGCGTAAATATCTTAATTTGAATATGTTTTACATATGTTTATATACTGATGGTTTTATGTTCAACTGACAGACACATTATCATGTTTTTATCGATCAGATTGTATTTATGTCCATTAAACTGTTTACATTTACTTCCAAGTTATACATTGTTTGTTTCAAACATTACATGACATATGCACAATTATAAACAATATAAACGTGAATATAAAATGAGTTATTAACCCGGAAACATAGTATCCACAATCATTGCAATAATTTATATAACACACACTATCATTTTATCATTGATACTTTAACAAAAACGTTTGAATGAATTTGATACTTCATTGCATGTAGAATTATTGTCATATATAAACTGTTTAATTAACAATATTATGATTTAACCGTGTTTATGTGAATATCGGTCATGTATTGCAAGATCAAATGTGAACGCAAGTTGTCGTATGACAATTAAGTTACCCGCAATATTTTTTGTTACGAAACAATATTACTATAATGTTCAAGCGTTGCGAAATCAAAGATATACATATGTAGCTGATCAGTTTCAATGTTTTGGACTAAGAAAAGTGTGTTGCTTTATTTTATCAAAATTGACAACTTATATGGTTGTTTTCAGGTAAAGATTTTTTCTGGGGAACAGAAGTACCGTCAGTTAGTTTTAAACAAATAAATTACCTTGTGTTTGAACGAGGTTTGAGTGATATGTGGCAGGAAACTTAAATTTAATTTTGCAGTTATATCAGATATCTATACATTTGTATCTTTGTTAATAAAATTTAACTTTAAATTTTGTTTACTCGCAATTACTGATAGTTAAGTGTTAAGATGACAAAAGAGATAAACATTTATATACATTCTTAGCGTTAATATACAATTGTTTATTTTACCCCGGAAGTTTAATGCGAACTAGTTTAAATCTCAAAAAATAAATTATTGTTGAAAGCAAAGCGGAAAAAAAACACATTTTACTAAATTCATAAATCAGAAGATATTCATTTATTTGGAATCAAGACATAGTTGTTCTGTATACATTTAATAAATAAATAAATATATATATAATAACTGTAACCTTTTGTATACAAACATATCGGTTTTGTTTGAATAATGAATGGTTTACGGATTCTGTGGCAGGTAATGCAATATGTATGTTGAACATATATACTCGTACCATATTTTGAATTGCAACAGTATAACGAATCATGCAATACTGTTTATACGCTCATTTTTCTTGAGATTTAAACCACACTTAAACCATCAAAACCTATGGTTTAACACTACTTGTCATTAACAATACTATCCTTATGTAGACTTCATAACTAAACGTTGAAATACGTGGCGTTGTGTATTCAGATCAAACAAATATCAATATTTATAATACCGACATATACTTGGAAGAAAAAACAACATATGTTAGAAAGAAGTGAGTCATTTTACATAGATATCAATAAACGAATATCTCATCAACGTATATTGATTTTATACCAAATACAGATACAATGATTTTTCGAGTATGAAAATCAATTAATAAGAATAAAGAAAAATAAATTTGAAATAGTATTATGTATTATATTCATCATCGGTGTTGTTTATTTTGCAATTAAAAGAAAATATTACGGATATCGAGTATTTTATATTTGCTTGCACATACAAATAATGTTTATGTATTGTTTTATGGCATATATCTCGAAGAAAATATCAAAGTTAAAAGTAGCACCTCTATGACTAATATAAAATTAATTGCCTTGGTTTGCACAGTTTCGGGAGGTTGTTGTATGTCTGACAATATTTTGTTTACGTGCGTCTTTTTCACGAGCTACAATGAAAACAGGATAACGATGTGTTTTGTTTTGCCGTTAACATGTTAAAATGCTTTACTTTTGTAATTTTTTAAAACTTAGCATTTTCATATAATAAAACAATGTTTGACAATCATGAGCCACGTTCCATATGTCAAATTCCGGTGGGTAAATATTGCATCATATAAATTCAATAGCTGGTAGCCTATGCAGGCAAGAATAACGAATTATGAAATGCAATGTCCTTTTTATTTAATTAGCTGTTTTCGAATTCTCTCTTTGAGCATAAAATAATTAACTTACAGAAATATATTCCCCAATTTCCTTCTATAAAAAATATTTCAGTTACAGCATGTTTTTAGATCAATTAAGCAATTATTTTAAGACAGTATTAAAGATTGCTTATAATAAACATACACAATCAGTGATATGTTAATAAATATCATAAAGGTATATTTATATATACAAGTAACAAATGATATACAAAGGATACACTATATCTCAAGTAGATTTAAACTGAACTATTTATGAATGCTACTTTATAAGTTATGACTTACAGGTACGGTGTTGTTTAAACATTATGGAAGTTCCTGGTCAAAAAGTGTCGACGGACAAAGATGCCAAACTGTGTTGTTTATGTGAAGATTTTGACATAACAACATATGCGGATGGGTTTTGCGTCGAATGTGAAGTTTACTTTTGCAATTCATGTTTCGTGAAACACAAAGGACGTAAAATTAGTAGAAATCATTCCTTAGTAACAGTAGATGAGTCGAAGTCAGTGAAAGTAATGGTTGGTGATACGTATGAAACATGTCAAGAGCACAGTGGAGAAATTGTGAAATATTATTGCCCAAAGCATGACCAAGTTGGCTGTGGAGAATGCATAATTGTATGTCATAATGGGTGTAAGTTAGAACTCATTCGTAACAAAGCTGCTGCTTATTATTATAGTCAGGAATTTAGAAATCTAAGAGAAGAGATGAATAAATACATAAAAGAGGCTGAAGATAGTTTATCATTGGTAGCGATCAACCGGCAACAACTTGCAAAGTCATATGAGCAATTTGTTAGCGACGTGGAGGCATTCTCAAACCAGGTAATTGAGCGTATAAACATAATGAGGCAGAAGGTTCTGAGTCAGGCTAAAAACGTTATGTTGAATGACAAGAGGAAAATAGACGATTTACAGAAAGATACTGATGACTTAATAGCTGATTTGACACGCCAAAACAATCTTATTGAGTCGAAATGCGATACACCCAACAAGCTCTTTGTATCTTGTCTTCTAATGAAACCAGAATTAAAAAGAACCCAGCACAATTTGGATTGCTCAAGAAAGAAAAATGTTGTGACTCAGTATAAGTTTATGCAAGACAAAATTCTAGCTGAATCTATTACAGAAAACAAGGTGATTGGGATGCTCATTGAACAGTCGTCGGAAAGAAGTATGTTTTTTTAAATTTTTATTGCTGTTTTGGTTTTATTTTGTTCTTTTTTTATTATTTCTTATTTACAATGAAATGTATTTTTATGAAACATATCATATATTAAGAATATGAAAAACGTACAAAAATAATGTGTATCATTTAAACATATTTTAGTAACCGTTTAACAATCATCTGATACATATAACGATTATATTTTATTTGAACATGAACAAATGACAATTTTTTTTAATTTGATGTTGCTCGATATTCAGATGTCTCTATTTGAGATATTTAGTTAAACATCGTATTTGAGTGTGATATTTATGCATTTTAGGTCAACAACATCAACATGAATTCAAGCAAATTGATTCGACTGGTGAAGGGCAAGTTTGTAATCCTTCTCCTCAGGCAAGTATATATAAGAATTTTCATTTAAAATCTTATTACCATCATATAATATTTTATAAAGGGTGACATATGAAACGATTTCCAAACAGAACACAAGAAAGAAAAGGTGAACATACAACAACAAATTGTGACGTTCAGGACTGTCACTGACGCAAATATACCTTGAATATGCAAACATATAAAACATCATATTGACGTATTAACCAAAGGTCAAAATAACAACACCCAACAGATCAAAATATGCATACATGGACACGTGAAATTTATGGATACCTGCAGAGTCATAAAAGTGACACTTCGCTTCAGATTTAAATCTTTCAATTTTTGTCAAAGCGAATTATGGATTAAATCCGAAAAGGAATGTTATCACCTGAGTTAAATAATAGTAATTTGTAATAAGGTGCATATACAGAAAATAAGAGGGTATTTACCGATATATCTGAAATAACTCCGAAAATACAAATAGGGTACCGAAAAGGGGAAAACCCTTGTAAGGCTAAATGGGTCTGTCATGCACAACCTGACTTGTATGTAAGCGTTGTTAACATTGATATGAAAATCAATGTTTATTTATTAATTTAATTATTTATTTATTTATTAGTTATTTATCTTTTTATATATTTTTTATTATTTATTTATTTATTTCATTTTTTATTTGTTATTATTTATTTTTTCTATTTATTAATTTTCTTATTTATTATGATATATCACAATTGTTTAGAATAAAGTGATTCATATCCAAAGATGAAATCATTATCTTTGGTATCGCAATAACACATTCCTTTTGTTGTTCTCCGAGTGTATAATAATGTGTCAAATACAATTTATTCTAAGAAACAAGATTAGCACATGGACATGTTTAATTTAGATAACATTTTTTTCCATTTATGCAGCATGCACAGAGTAAAATAAGATACAAGCATATTGGTAAGTTATATTTCAACTAAATTTTATGTAAACACTTATTTTTCAAGTTTATTGTTTGGCATTGATCAATTAACCGCGCAAACAGAAATTAAGACAATGTTTTTATCTTTGCTTCATTACCTATTTAATTTGAATTACTTACATCAATGTTTCTGAAATTTTCTAAATGTTATCTTTCAACATTATAATGTTTAAATATGTCTAGTATTATTTAATCCTTTACATCCTGTATTGTATTAGAAAATGAAGTGGCAGAGACATGTACAAGAGAAGATACGATGAATGCTATAGCGCCCCAAAAGCTTCAAGTGAGTTATTTACATCGTAAATGTTAAAGTGAAGAAACCTTAATATATTTCATCGTGATGGCAGTAAATTTCACTTTTTCGGGCATATATTATCGGTATTTTGGCATATATTGCAGATTTTATGTCAAAGCTTCCCTTCAGGGGCATAAGTCAATTATCAGTTGCAGCTCTTGTTTGTTTATTAATAAAGTATACCTCATTATTCAGTTGTACGAATTTCAGTTAAAACAATGTTTATAGATTGCAATTTTAGAATTAAGTTAAATTGTAAGTTTACGGGAACTCACATACAACATAGGTATATAAAGAAGTTAATGATTGGTGGGTGTAATTTCATTCAAAAGTGTATATCATATATACAAAGTATATGATTAATGTACATTATATAAGCAATCACGTTAAGGAGGAAAAATGGTTTATATAAAATACCGTGTCACTTGAGTTTGCATACATATTAAATGGACGTTAACATATACTCATTTTTTGTTGTACAAATACGAAGACTTATTCAGTAAAATTCCTGAGTTAATTATAAGTCAAGTACATTAACAATAAAATAAAGTGTGTAGATATTTTAATATGCGTGTAAAGTTAAACCTAAATGTTCTTTAAGACTTGACATAATTTAGCTGCATCAAATCAACTGCAAAGCTGAAGTACTTTCTGACTTCAGAGCAAACGGTTTTATGTGATCAATCTATGAAATTATCTAAAAAGAAATATAATTAATAATTCTTATGGATTTTTTATCCTTTTTACCTAGGTTCTACTAATGTCAATACCATTAAGTTGTAAAACATGAGCAAACAATCCCCCTTGTTTAAAATAATTGCCAGATAATTGGTGATATCTTTTAATAGCTGCCATTTTTGATTTTGCTTTTAAAAAAGTCATGTATCTTCGTAACAACCTGTGAATTATAAACCATCTTCCTTACAAATTTTGAAGTATAGAACGTAGCTTTTCTCTGTATTTACCATAACGACATTAAATTTACATGAGTCTAGGGTTTGATAGAACCAAAAGGGCTCAAAAGAGATAGACGAGGGTTATGTGAAGGTTCAATTAAAATTAAATTTGATTTATTTAAGTTTCGATTTATTTACATAACTGCAAAATTAGGGTTGTTTAATCAAAGAATGACATGCATATATTTTTATTTGAAGATTTTTGAAATATAGATTTCTATTTTTCCGTTACTTAATTAAATGTGTGATTTTTTTCAGCCATTACTTGACAGAAAACTAGCTTGCAAAAATCTAAAAATTGACGGCGAATGTCTCAGGTCAATATTTTATTTATCTTTTTTTTTTTGAAATCAAACCCGTTTATTTTACGATGTTCTATAAGATTATGCAAGTAAAAATAAAGTTATTTTTAAAGTTTTATGTAATAGTAAGCATAATGAAAGATTGACATATCTATAGATATATATTTCGATTAAGAAAAAAGAAAGAAAGAAAATGATATCAATTGCATAAAATATACGTTTCCAGGTTATTTATACCGTAAATGTGATAAACTGATAACGTATTTTATTGTATATATCTAATTTTTGTTTTCATGAAAGTGACATTATGCCCATTAGAGGGTACAAAGTGACTGAAAAGGTAAAAAACAAAATTTAAAAAAAGTCAAACGTTCTTATTTTTACATGCAATTCGTTTCAGTCTTATAATTTGCTATGTATGAAAGCTAAAAACAACTTCAACAAGGAAATATAAATATCCACCGGGATTTATTGGAACCGTTCATTTTTTAAGAACAAGTGATGTAGTCTCTATATATATTTTAAACATCTTTATATTGTAATGATCACATTTGCAAAGATAAACTGTTGATTAATCAATATTTAATCAATCAATCTCTTGAAAAACAAAACAGTCAAATCAGATCAATTTGACAGTGACAAATGTGAACAATGTCACTTTAAACATACATATGGATAACATAGACATTAGGTCCTGCAACAATTTCTTCTTTTAATGTTTTCATTACATATTAAATATAATCAACGTAAATTACAACCAGATAATCATCAGCACCTTAAACAAACTTATTAAATAACTAACTTAGGATTTTCATAAAAAAAAGTTAATAATAAAAAGTAACGATATTTGATATACCAGCGAATAGGCATAGTTTGACACACAATGAAAACAAAAATGCAATCGGGATTATAAACAGTTCTTCATATTCTTTCTTTATAAATCATGATTTGCAACAAATGATTACGAGTAATATATATTTGGTTTTCACATGTTGTTGCAGTTATACAGCGGTTGAACATAATGGTATTGGATTGTATGTGTTCAAGGAGATTGCACGTAGGGAAACATCTATTGAAATTGAGATATTAAGAATGGGTACAAGCGGGTCTTTAGGTACCATTTATATACTTCTTGTATAAATAAGCGTCCTGCTTATAAAGTCAGTTCGTACAATTAAAAAAAATCATAATTGCTCGTATTAATCAATGACTACACCATTTTGGCTAATACGTCATTGTTATATTTGGTGTTTATTTATTAGTAACATTTTATATTTTACATAACGAATTTTCTTTAATGTTGTGTTAATTCAAATATTGTTCATGATTCATTCGTAATAAAAATAAATGTATCACCATATCAAATGAAAAGTTAGATTCCTTTTTTATTAATACTTCAAATTTAGTTGAAAACGTTTGCTGTTTTATTTTCCTCACGTACAAATAGGAAGTAGAAAATAAAACATATAATGTGCAGTATGTATTTATATTTTAGGTATTGGTGTAGTACCAGATAACTATCCTGACAATCTTCTACCGGGCTTAGGCAAAAGTTCCTATGGATACCTATCAGACGGCAAGTATGTATCGACAACTGTTTTGTCTAAATATTTATTATTTTGTTCTGTCTTTAAGTTACTGATGTTTGTATGATTGAAAAAATAGTAGTATGAATATATACATCATTAAATTTGCAAACAGGTTAATAAAAATAACTTTTCTTAGCGTTTTTATCATTTCGTAAACCTTTTAGAAATATTCACGTACTAAAATGCAATATATGGACAAAATTAACACTATTCAGCAAACTATAGTTAAAACCTTAGATGGAAATATTGTCATTTGCTTGATTCTTGTCCATATGTTTAAGTATAAGGTGTCAATTTTGTTTAAGCATAAGCTTTTAGCAGACTAAGGTTTAAAAGTGTCACATGAGATTATCTTAGTTACATTCATTAGTTTCTGTACATGTAAAACAAAATTCTGCCCATCATTTGGTTATTTTCCTCAAATATGAATTTACATTGAGTGCTTGTTTTCAATAATCATTTATCATATATAATAATAGATTCAAAACAGTTATTGTAATTTAAAATAAAACATACTGCTGACAACAAATTAAAATTATGTTTCAATGAATATCGTGTTCTGTCATCTTCCGGCTAATACAACGAAAGAATGTTTTGCAAAGCATTTAGTTAACGGAGTGTTTTACAATTTTACAACCGTAATTTATCAAATGTATGTTGTGAGTATTAAATTTATATTATTATTATAATAAATGATTGATTAAGAAAACACCGTAGGGACAATGTTTTCGTAGTATAAGCATATTGTCTGTTTTATTCTATTCGAATTATGTTCTACAAATAAAATTTAAATAAACTATTATTAAAAAATACGTTTATACTGTATGTCAAATATTTAATTTTTAAATATTATTTTTAATTTAAGACTTTTCGATGCATTATATTTTCCAAATTGGAAAACAATAAATAAATACACATCTTAAACAAGATGTACACAGTAACGGTTTGAATAAATGCGTAAACACAGTTAATTTTCTATTGTTGCCTCGAAAATGTGAAAAAAGCGAAAACACGAAGAGAGGACAAAGTCCAACTTTGTCATCCCTTCGTGTTTATGCTTTTTAGCATTTTCGAGGCAGCAAAGCGAAAATACGACAGAAGGAGGGACATATACGACGCATAAAATCTGTCGTATATTCGCATTCCATCTGTTGTATTTTCGCTTTTTCGCGCATTGTTACATTTTCGCATTTTCGCTCTTTCGCATTGCTACATTTTCTCTTTTTTGCGTTCCGGTTGCACATGCGCATGGAGACATCAACCTGAAAATACCTTAACGTTACAGCTGATGACATTTTTGTTTGTACAATTCATTTATTGTTTCCTTGAGTTAAGTACCGTGAACTTAGAGAAGCACAGTATAATACAATATGATCTATATAACAATATGTTTATTAAATTTTTCTATGAATGTTTATTTTTCTCATTCAAGAGACCTTTCTTTTAAAGACCTGAGGAACGCCTGACAACATGGTATAATGTAATAATGAATAGAAAAAGATTTTACATATTATTATATAAATTTTAAATGAACTTTATCTAACATGCACTCTGCGTTATCAGAGAAAGTTTGTCTTAAAATCTCTAATACTAGAATGACAGACATTATAAAATGTACGGGCAGTGCCTTTATCGCAAATCTCATGTTACACCCGTCAGCAAAATAAACTGATACTATAAAAATGGTAAGAACAAATTACGGTATTTATTAAAATAATTGTTGCATTAATTGTTTCAAAACAATCTGAAAGCCTAACCGTTATTTATGTTATTATTTTTCATGTGTAAGGAGCGGTTCAGTATAACTTTAGGATACTTTTAAATTATACATCTACGTGAATACAACATATCTTATTTAGGACTGTTATATAATGAATTGATGTCTCCATGCGCATGTACAACCGGAACGCAAAAATGCGGAAATATAACAATGCGAAAATGTAACAATGCAAAAAAGCGAAAATGCAACAATGCGAAAATGTAACAATGCGGAAATTAAGCAAAAATATAACAATGTGAAAATGTAACTATGCGAAAAGGCGCAAATGCGAAGAGACGACAAACTAATACTTGTGTTGTCGCATTTTTGTATTTTGAACGCGAAAAAGCGAAAATACGACAGATGGAATGCGAATATACGACAGATTGTATGTGTCATATTTTCGCCCTCCTTCTGTCGTATTTTCGCTTTGTTGCCTCGAAAATGCGAAAAAGCATAAACATGAAGAGACGACAAAGTCCAACTTTGTCGTCCCTTCGTATTTTCGCAATTTGAGGTGAAAAAGCGTAAATACGACATGGCCACAATGAATTCATTATATCTTATACAGAATAACACAATCATGAACTTGAAAACATCAAGCAAATGTTTACAAAATAGTTTACAAAATAACAAGTCATTGAAACACTACATTCGATACAAAATCGCAAATGTGATCTACCCTGCAAAGTCGTATCTCTTTACATAACGTCTTCATGTTTTTGTTCAAATTGATCAAAGTTACTTTCAATGCAATAATGTAATTGTTGGAAAAACAAACTGTGATCCGTTACTCTAGATAGCTCCTAAAGGTGCAAGAACCGCATTTCCTATACAGTTTCTCCATGGATGAATACATTGCAAATTAAACCAAAGCAATGTCAGGAGAGTACGGACTTATTGATTTATGCGTTGTATGCATGACATTATTTGTTGTAGATTATAGAATGTGTGTAACCGTTTGTTTATTTTAAGCATTAAAAAATCAAATTCCATTATAAATATCGCAATTAATGTTTTCGACACACTGTACACACTATAATTATGTAGATTTTCCATATAAGAACAAAATAAGTCACTTTTGTCGCGTCATATTCTCTCCGTCTTACACGTACTTATGCCTTTTGTCGTCAGAAAACCGTTTGTACGCTACAATGACATAACTTAGATATTACACGGTTTTCCCGCCAGTCTAAAAACGACATTTTGTAGCAAGAAACACTAGTAACTACGCACTAGGAATACTGTTGTTACAAAATTGCAACATACAGATTACATCCAACTTTTAAATTATAGCATTATCGAACTGATGTCGCTTCATTTTGCTCACGTTTTCGTGTATTTAATCTAGAATTAGGATTTATTTAACTTTACAAGATTGCAGAATCTGAAAAATCTGTGTGCGCCGCATATGTATCACTATGGTTATAGAATCCCATGGCGTAATATATTAAAGTTCTAGCTTATCTTATTTATTGTATGTTCTGTTCTTTTAATAAATGGTTTACAAACTTTAAACTAACTGTACGTAATTAAAAAGTTTACGTCATTTTGAATCATACCCCCTTTACCCCATGATTAAAATTAAAGAACATTCAATATCTTCAAAATTGTAACTGAAATAAAAAATCTGTTTCTAGTTTGGTATATTATAAATGATAGTAACGTTCACATTTGTGAAAAGACGATATACACGTTTACTAATTTGATTAATTATAAATGATACTAATGTACAGGTTATTTTAAAATCTATATACAAATGTTCTAATTTGATGCCATTTAAATAATGATAACGTTCATATCTTTAAAAATAGTATATAATTTTTTTTCTGGTTTGATTAATTTCAAAATATAATAAAATTTTGATTGTTGTAAAGACTATATTTTTTTAAATTAATGAAATATTAAAATATTTACTATTTAAAGACGTTTAAACCAAGTTCCGAATAAGTTGAAGTAAAAAACTATAGTTACGTGATAGAATATTTACAAAGAGCATAACGTAGTGCTTGTTTACACACTAAAACAACACGAAAACAAATTTAAAAACAAAAGATATATACAAACAAGAACTTCGCATCATTTATTTTTTTTTGCTGTAACTCAGAACATATTTCCAGCCAAAACACACTAAGCTATCAATTACAATCTCAATAATTTGACTGATTCGATCCAAGTAAAATAAATTACTAGTAGTCAGATGCCCCGCTTTTTAATTAAAACGAAATATTGCATTTACAGGATATCAGAAATAATCATTCGATAATTCTGAAATTATAAACGGAAGATTTACTATGATACGTATTAATAAAGGAACTCAATAAAAAAAATGTTTGACATGATTGGATTGTCCGATGTGTTTTTTTTTTGTTTTCTTTATGTATGTTTACACAAATAAGTTGTGTGCAATATTGCAAATAGTTTCATTGCTCCGTTTTTCAAAAATATAAATTCGTATTATAAAAAAAACCCAAAACTGAAAAGCGTTGCAACGCTTCACACTCAAATTAGGCTTTAAATACCTCATAAATACTGTTTTTAAATTTATTTCTAAGAATATACCAACATTGATTTGCATATTTTCTGTATTGAGTGTTCAAGCTGATCTATGTTTGAAATAAAAATAAAATGTATCTAGGTTTTTGGACCGAAAAGGAGTTCCTTATATATGATTAAAGGTATATATTGCATACACGTAACAATTTATTTTACTATCCACTCATAAGAGATGGTAAGAATGTTCAAGATTTTAGATTAAAATTCATCAGACGCTTGCATTTTGTATGTTTGTTGCATATTCAGTAAGTGTCAGGTGATGTTGATGTCTTTATTTAGGACATGTTTTATTTTGTTCAGTATAACTTTAGGAACACAACATACATATCATATCAAACGTGTGTTCTTATCAAAGCAATGTAATTATGTTACGGCGTCTGTAAATAATAACAGCAAACACAACATCTGAAATGAAAAGAATACTCATCCACGATCAAATGTGTATGTAATTGAACAGGAACGATTAACAAGGTTATTTCATAATTGTTTAGCATCCACTCAAATAAATACAACAGTTATTTGTAAATAATGTTAAATCAAATATGAACATAATCTGAGTGTCGTTTGTCACAATGAATATAGTTATGTGTTTCTTTTCCTAGAAAATCCGCGTAATTTTGTGGGGTTATTTATTTCTTGGCACACACAATATTGAGCATAGTTGACAAATAATATAACAGTGAACTAACTACTTATAACAATGTATTTTAATTCAGTATCAATGTAAAATATTATGGACAAAAACTGCGTACTTTCCTCCTATAAAGCATTGCTTAGAGTTAAGAGTCTTATATTTGATATAGCTGTATTCTCATTTCTACGAAATGGATTAAGAGGACTATGAATACCATACTCGTTTGTTTAAAGATCCTGTAACGTATTTTTTATGGTTAAATTTCATAAATACGATGCTCAAATTAAGATTTGTCAATATTGTAAGTTCCATTAAGCATTATTTATAAAGATATTACCGAATTTAACATTTCATATAAATAAAGAAAGGCAATTAGAAATTTATATTCTATAAATTCTAAGTCTAATTTTCCAATAAGAAATGAATGGATATAATTAATTGATTACATATAATGTGCACAAATATTTGCAGTACATATTTTACATATTCTTTGATGTTTGAAACTTGTTTTATTTGCATAATTATATACATATATAATTTATTGTCAGAGTGGTATATACACTGGTACAATTTCAATCACAAAACATACAGGATCTTCAAACATGTTATATATAATTTATTTTAAGGGTGTTTAGAGGAAGCACATTCGTTAACACATCTGGAGATGCATGGAAAGTCGGCGATCGGATCAAGTGCGAATTTCGTAAATATGTGTAAGTTTTTAGTATTTTTAGAGTTATTCGTTTCTAATGATTTCTGTATGATATGCTATTTCTTATTTGTCAGAGCAGTTGACATAATTTATCCAGATTATATGTTTGTTTATACTCTTGTCAAATACGGATTAAACATCAAACAACATACAGTTTATAAATATAACACTTCTTTTAAAAATGTAAAGGAGATACAACATTTATAAAAATAGTAAAAATGGTATTTTATTTTTCCCGGAAGTAAAATGCGTGTGATTTTGAAAACAAACATTATTCAATGTTAACCTTATTATATTATTGAATTTACCGTTTCTTATGTCGATGACTTAAAACATGCAACAACATGTTTCAAACTTTGCAAAACCAGTTTTCAAATTACTTAAGGTATTAGCACCCTAATGCATTACCTCCGCGTTGAAGAGTATTCAAATAGGCTAGAATTACTGTTAACTACATTGAAAATGAGGGCCATGGGTTCAATCCCCAGAAGGGCCAACTTTCTTTTTCTTTCTTTTTTTCTTTTAACATTATTTATGTATCTCTCATGTCCCATATGGAAAGAAAAAAGTGTTTAATTTTGAATTTTTTAATTTATATAGGTATTTATTGGCTAAATTATGCTAAATCTAGTAATAAATATGGTACCTGATATTTTCAAAGTGTAATATAATCAAAACTAGACGGTAAAAGTATTTTCATATTTTACAAGATCAACAATATACTTTTTAAAAAAATTTAGGGAAACTTTGAAAACAGGCACTCATTTGGGTAAATTTTAAGAATTTTTTTGAATTAGGCTCTCTTAGTAGAAAAATGGTCAGACATGTAGTAAAAATGGGTGGGGTAGGGTAACATTTTTATACAGATTTTCATAAATTTAAAGTAGAAACCATAATTTTGCTTATGTGGATTGTTAGCTGAATGGTACTATTTGTTTCTTACCAAAAATTCATAGGAAAACATTTTTCATTAGAATGTTATTGCAGATTATTTAAAGTTCCTCATTTCTAAAAAAGGGCCCTCATAACATCCTAGCTGAGTTCAGAAAAGTGGCCATAACTTGATTTCCGTACGGTAAACTTTGTTTAAATTTTGCATACAGGCGTACTTTAAGGTATACATTTGACCTATGATGTCATTTCTTTAGTTCCTGATAGTGCCCATTAGGGTCCTAATACCTTAAGTATTTCCATCAAATTGAAATAATTTCTTATATTACCGTATGTATATCGGTCGTAAACGCTAGTCCCATTAGTAGCATAAATCATCATTTGTTGTTGTTGTTATAAAGAAATATTTTTTCTGCTATATTATATTAATCACATATTTTTTGTTGACATTTCGATCCAAAATACTACCCATTGAAGTATGTGTATTGGCTTGATTCAGAAGAAAATAGCAAGACACCAGTGAAAATACGAAACATATGATTCACTGCAATATCTTTCTTTTTTTCATTGTTAAGATAAGGAAAACAAAAATACGCGCATTTTATCAATCATAGTTATAAAATAATTACCCAATTTTTTTTCGTTAATATCGGACACATAGATACTTTCAAAGCGCAGGCTTGCTGAGTGGGTATTCGATGGTTTCTGCAATTGTTATATTACAAATGAAAGCGCTATTCTTGCATACACACAAAACTCAACTGGATAATATTTTTTTCTTTTCCGGTGCGAGTGTCATATCATTTGGTTCTTTATTTGATAATGAGTCATCATTATAGCCACATATATTTTAAACATAAACATCACTGAGTGCTCGCGTGTTGGTATGCGTTAATGCATTTCTTTTTCTCCGTTATCTATACCTGAATATCGGGGACGACGTCCTCAGGTTATACACAAACAAATTTGCCCCAAATTTTTTCAAGCTTTTACAACGTTCAAATATCAAGAAATGCCCCTTTTTGTTTTTTTTGGGGTTTTACGTCAATCCCCACAGTATGGGTCTTTTCGCGCTTTCCCGTTTTACTGGGGGAGGAAAAACCCAAAGTTCCCTTTCCGGCATTATTTCGGCACAAAGGGCACCTGATAAAAACCGACCCCGAAAGCTAGCTGGAAGTTCCATAAAAAACCCCAAAGCCCCTTCGGGTTTCAACCCACAGCGGTGAGGGGCAATGGTTTAAAATAAACGACTTTTAACCACTCGCAGGACCCCCCTAAAAGAAATGTCTCTTTACGTGTAATAACAAAAACAATATCATATTGGGGAAACAATGTTAACAGAAATTTTTTAAATGAAATTTTTAAATCCCTGAAACGTTTGCTATATTAACTTTAAATCCGAATTTAAAAAGCTAGGCAACATTGCTAAAATTTGTTCAAGAACTTTCTATTAAGGCTGTTGTTCTTATTGTTCTGTTGAAAATGGTTTTTACACTCTTAAGCCGTCAAATTGAGTAAAATAGCATAGAGTAGAATTATGTCGATGCATATATCGTCTAACAGTATTTACCGTATGTAAATTATATTACAAGTCTGATGTTTATTATACATAAAGGGTTTCTTAACAATGCGTTCAATAGCAATACATGTTATGGTGCTCTAAATGAAATACTTTTACTTTTTACCACATTGACGGTACCAGATGGAATATTAAAACGTTGTTTATACGATGTACTTCATTAACGCTATGATCGATGTGTTTGAAGTTTAACCATAAACGGATTCGATATTATTCTGTTCATTCTTTATTTTGTTTATTTTCATTAATTGTGGGTATGTATAAAGTCAAAATTTATTATGCTTACATAACTTGACTATCAAAAAAGCTTTGTAAAAGTACATATTTAAATGAACTATTTTCCTAGACAAATTATCAATATTTTAATGGTATTGTGTTTTGTTTAACACTATGTATAATGATTGATTGAAACTTTTTTTATTGCATTTGAAGATAAAAGATACCTTTATTTAAAAAGAAAACACTCAAAATAAGAGTTCATGTTACCAATCAATCACACATATCGATTGTGTACGAGTGTTTGTAACTAAGTCACAATCTAAAACTATATTGTAAGTTATGTGAAATATTACAATGATATATTAGAGCACATGAAAGTTAAAAGTTTCAATCAAGGGCATATATCATTCTTATTTTGAGTGTACTGTAATAAAATGATCAAACTAAGTAGCTTTATTCAATTTTTGTTTGTGTATGTTTACCTAGAAATAATGTGCTGGAACAGACACACAATGTATAACAGTGTATAAAAGCTACCAACACATGACAGAAAATTATGTAACAACATATTAAAACTGTAGATATTATATATTGCAGATATTATGTGTACCGACAATTCTGTACTGATTTTATACATGTTACTTTACCTGAATAACTACGTATGAACGACATTAAATTCATAAATACCTGTTTGATTTTGTTACAATATTGTATTTATTGACTGTTTTATTGTTACAATATAGTTAAAGATACAGTAATTAATATACAAATCTGACTATTGGTTGGCTCGTGCTGGAAAGAAACATGCTTACTAGCTTTTTTGAAGTTTTTTATTTGTTTCAACCTCTTGTGACCGGAAATTAAAAAAAATGTTGTTTTTTTTCACTAGACATGCATATATGTCTTAAGACGGAGACATCTGTTTTGAGTTATATATTTTTAATAAATTGATTCTTTTTTTATTTGGCATTGCACTGCAAGTTAAATTGATCGTGTTTTTACTGGAAACATCTTGTCTACATTGTCAATATTAAATGAAAAACTAATGTCAATCTTTACCAAATTGACAATGAAAGAATTATGTGATAATCAATTCAACATACACATCGACATGTCACTTTCTGTTTAAGGGATTCAAAGTTATCTTATTAGACAAAGGTATAAACATGCAACCTGAACCGATTGGGTATACCGTCATTGTCTAATTAACCATACATATTTTTTTTGTAATTCAAATGAATGACGCAAAACATTTTCTGCGGATGTTGTTCTGTAAACCATATTACATTACTCTTTTCAAAACTGTAAATAAGTATTGTGAGATATCGTATAAAAATATTCAAAACGCGCAAAGAATATAATAATATTTGCTTTCAATTTTGTAAAATTCATTTTCATATATATAACATATATTTTTTTCTGACAAATGTCCAACTGTTTTTATTACAAAAGCCCCATCAGTCAACTCACAATGAAAATGCTCATTGGTCAAAGTTTGTTACTGTAACAGAGGTTATGTTCCATGAAATTCGGAAGAAATTTGTTTTTTTAATGTGACTTTAATTTTTAATCAGCAAATAAAGAGAATCAAAGTTTTTTAGTAGGTTCAGCAGGGTAGCATAGAATTTACCCGTTTTCCAGCAACATGTATGTCAAAGGGTATCATAGGGTTAAATACAAAATCAGTTTTTTTAAAGGTTGTCTTTTGTTTAAAAAAAAAAAAAAAAAAATCAACGAAAATATATATTCAAGAAAGATTGTCTTGCAGTAAGATTTATATAATTTTAAAAACATCTGAATTTTAAATTGTTGGGTTTTTGTATCATTAAATAAATGTGAAAATCTTTTTAAAAATAATTCATTTCTATTCCCTATCTTTATACTGGGTATAAAAGCATTTAGTTTTTCGGTTGCAAATCCACGTTTTCCCTTTTTTTTTTGCTTATTTTTCCCAATTTGTATCCCAATTTTTAAAGGTATAAATTATTTTTTATTATTCTTTAAAACATCACACTTTAAAAAATTTTAAAAGATTTCAGTAAAAAAGTTTAATGGAATTCCAATTCAATATTTCATATGGGTATTTTTTATAAACTTTATATGGGGGTCATACAAACAACTTGCTTTGCGCCAGCAGGGTCAACCGCTGCGCATCCCAAAGTCGATGACAGTTTTCCTTAAAAACCCATAAAAGTAGAAACTGGCGAAGCTAGGTGGGTCATGAAAAACCAAACTAAGGTTTAAAACGCATGGTCGAGAAGCCTGCGATCCGGCAGTTGATCAGGATTTTGCTTTCGCTTGCAACCTTTTAAAACAGTAAAAAAATGATAGCAAACGCTGGACTTGATCGCTCGCGGATTGCGCGGGCGATCTTCAGCTCTGGACCATGTGGTCGCAAAAACTATGTTTTTTGTATACAGGCTTTTTTAAAACCAAACTTCAAACCTGTAGTAAATAAAACGCCAAACAAATATGATTTTTAA